GGAATGAAGGGGGGAAACAGAACAAATGTAATGGCATAATTAATAAAATTTTAAAAATGAAAAAAACAAACAATGAATATAGGGGAAAAAAATCCACATAGGAGCCAGGAGCTATTGGTTATGGCCCACCTTTGTATTTGTGTGACCCTGGCAAGCCAATTTTCTTCTTGGGTCTTAAGTTCCTTCATCTTTAAAATTAGGGGACTGGACTGCAGGACTTCGATGATACCTTGATTCTAATGCTCTGCAATGCGGGTTAAACTGACAAGGAGCTGCCACGGTCCACTGCATTAGTATAAAAGTGATAATAAATTCATTTAAAACCTGCTGATAAATCAAAGGAGTTTAGGGAAATAAAGCTTTTCTGAAGGTGTGAAGAAACATTTTTATAAGGCCCTTCCATTCCTTTGCCCTAATAATTATTCGGTAGAAAGATATAATGACTTGAAGTTTCAATCTATTTTATTCTACTTTGAGATAACTCACCTTTTATCTGAGCATGTTCCAAGATACTTCCTAGTGTCTCTCATCAAAAAATATATATATATATTGCCTGTGTACTATGAGCTAGACAGTGAGTAGTGCTCTGGATTTAGTTAATACAAATCAGATCCAGTCTTCATCCTCATGGAACCCACACCAGTATGGGTCAATAGGTATTTAGTTGCAAATCATCTATAACGATGCTTTTTAACTGAAAATGTGCGAACTGATCTCAGTCATGGATGCAAACTATGGACTCACTCTCTGTAAATAGCTATGTAAACATCGAAATTTGAATATAATTTTATATGTATTATAATTTCAGAGGTTTACGGGGAATCTCATCTGTGAAGTGGTCCAAGAATTGCAAGTTACTGGTAACCCCGACTTGTATCTACAAAACAAATTCAGGCCATAAAAGTCCATATTCTGTTTGCTAAGGGAGTATAGCAAAGATTTCCAACAGAAAATATTAAAAATAAAAGGCCATCATTTAAAGGATTAAGCAAGCTTTGGCTATTTGAAATTTTACTCACCTAGAGTATCTTATTCCTATTAACACACTTGATAAATGAGATACACAATGGCCCCTTGGTATCTGAGGGACACTGGTTCTAGGACCCCCTCAGATAACAAAAACCCAAGGATGCTCAAGTCTCATATAAAATAGAAGAGTATTTGCATATAATCTATGCACATCTTCCCAGATGCTTTAAATAGCCTCTAGAATACTCACAATACTTTATACAGTGTAAATACTATGTAAATAGATATTAAGGTATATTGTTTAGGAAATAATGACAAGGAAATTGTCATTATTTGTCAATTGTCATTAATTGTTCAGTAGAGATACAACCATCATAGACCTAATTAAACAGTATAAATCAGCACCAAGGGAACTTTTGTTTTTTTAGTATTTTTGATGTGTGGTTGACTAAATCTGTGGAAAGCAGAGACTTTACATTATTTGGTTAAGGTTGCTTGTTACATCAGTCTTCTTACTTGAAAGTCCAACTGCATATGAATGTGTGCCTCCTTTTCATAAGTAAAAGGACAGTTCATGACTCTCATTTTACATCAGAGACCCAATGAGCCATGACAAATACATATACACACTTACTGTGAATAGACAGCTTGACTAAGGCGAAGAGCACAGGTTCCAGAATCAGAGGACAGGCTCATTTCCTGGCTCTAACATTGTGAAGTGAAGTGATTTTGGATAAGCCATTTAACCCTCTGACCTATGTTTCTTCACTTGTAAAATGGAGAGGTGATAAGACTTACCTAAGAAGGCTATTATGAGAAATCAGTCAAGTAAAAATAATGTACATGAATGTATTTAGCTATAAAATGGGCAAAGGTGGGTGAGCAAATTATTTGGACTTGTTCACAGAACAACAAACACTAAGAGAAAAACATTTGGAAAGAGTTGCCCATATAACATCTTCAGTGGATCTATCTGGAATAAAATAGTTCTTAAATTGCTCAAGGAACTTTGTTTTGATTGAGTGCCCAATATTGAACTTCTTAAACATTAAAACTCTGAGAGGCTTTGGAATCCTTTTTTAAATTTTCTTTCTTTTAAAGATTTTATTTACCTATTTATTTTAGAGAGAGGAAGGGAGAGGGAAAGAGGGAGAGAAACATCATTGTGTGGTTGCCTCTCATGCACCCCTTGTTGGGGACCTGGACTGCAACCCAGGCATGTGCCCTGACTGGGAATTGAACTGGCGACTCTTTGGTTTGCAAGCCAGCACTCAATCTACTTAGCCACACCAGCCAGGGCAGGCTTTGGAATCTTTATAATGCATAAATACATTCTCAAGGCAAGAAGATGAACCACTTATACACTTTCAGTCTTAGCTCCTGTGTAGTCAAAGTCCCTCTCACTCCGTCTATTTTAGCTTTTTTACAGAGCAATGATTCTCTCACTTACCATGCTGAAAAGGCTTACAATAGTTAGAAAGGAATACAGTAGTCCCCCCTTTGCCATGAGGTAAAACATTCTAAGACCCCCAGTGGATGCCTGAAACAATGAATGGTATCCATCCCTACATATACTATGTTTTTTAACATGCACAAACACTTTACAGCTTCTTTGGCATATCTGAGCTGCCAACATCATTACTCTTGTGCTTTGAGGCCATTGTTAAGTAAAGTAAGGGTGACTCAAACACAGGCACTACAATATCACAACAGTCAATCTAACAATGGAGACAGCTACTAAGTGCCTAACAATCTGACAGTGTACACAGAGTAAATAGCTGGACCCTGGGGAGAGATGGGTGGAGAGATGCAAGATTTAATCACACTGAGGCAGGAGACAGCATAGGAAGAACTCTGAGACTGCAATATTGTTACTGGCCAGCATCTAGCATCCTGGTTGCTAGGAAACACCTTTTACCAATTAGGTAGAATAAATAGTAAACTGAGGCAGAGGGAGGAAGGAGAGATATCTCTCACTAATTCAGCAGTCCTGAGACTGGTCTGATAATATCACCAGGTGTTCCAACATCACAAGAAACACTCTGTTAGCAAGAAAGAAGGGAAGTCTTTGAAATTCTATACAGCATTTCCACTATCTGGGAAAGCCTTGAAACTGTGCTTTCATCCCAAGGCCTGGAATGCAGGAGAGGGTCCTCGGTGCCCAAAGAAGCCCATTAATACAACTTTGGTTAATTGCCTACCTCTGGTCACTATCTGTTTTACGAGGGAGTCCCTGATGCTTACGGAAAGAGCCCATAACTAACTTTGGAAAGTGTCCCAATTTTAATTAACTGCCTCCTGTCACATATTTGTTTTGCAGCAGGATGAACAAATGGGGTCTGGAACAAGATGAGGATTCTGGCTCACAGACCCCCATACATACCTAAGTTTGGGTAGTCACAATCCCCCAGGAAAGCTGGCACCTGACTTACCCATTAATCAATATGTAACTTTTTTCTTCCTATCCCACCAGCTATGTAAATCCTCAGAACAAAGGTCTCTCTCTCTCTCTCTCTCTGGGGCTTGGGGCACTCTTGGGGCTCTTGGCTCTTGGGCCACTGGACCACTGGGCCTCTGGCTACCCTGGCCTCAGGCTGCCTGGGGACATGGCAACCGAGTCTTCAGCCCCTCAATTTTTGTGACCTGCTTTGCCTTGAAACTTTTCCTTTCACCCCCTACTCTACCCAGTCCTGTTTTTTTGCATGGGAACGAATCACTAATAAACTGATTACAGGCTAATAGATTTGCTTATCTGTAACTCTTTACATGTGTCAGCAAGAAGAACCAGGTCTCTCCTAACACTGTTCAGAACCGCCCGCAACTTCAAATTTATAAATTCTTTATTTCTGTAATTTTCCATTTAATATGTTCATGGGTAATTGAAATGGTGGAAAGCAAAACCACGAATAAGAAGAGACTACTGTATACAAAAGATTTTAGGCCAGTTAGTTCAACAGATTGAACAAATCAATGAAATTAATCTCTTTTAGTGGAGAGGGTATTTGCTGTAAAAGAAGTAAACAATATTCCCCAGTCTGAGCCATGTTTTCCAGTCCATTCTCCATTGGAACTCAAAATAAACTGTATGTAAAGGATAACTTTTTTTATAACATTACTTCCTTTACAATATACATTTGTATTATTTCCATAGCAAAGTTTGAGGCAATTCTTCCTTTAAATTTTGAATTATATGTCTCTTTAGTAATTTGGTACCAAGGAATAAAAGAACAATCATTTCGCCTTATCAAATCTTGTAAAGGTATAGAAGAGTGGTTAGCCCTGGGGCTGAGACAAGAGGCAAATGCTGATTTCTTAGCCCTTACTAAGCAAAAACTCAGCCGGTTCCCCAAGGCTAGTTAAGCTCTGACTCCAAATACCCATTATATAGATGTCTACCAGGAAAACAAACTGCAGATCTTGTATTTACATAACACTCCAAGAAATTCAAAGTACTTAATTGCAGAATTGATTAAAAGAAATCCCCCATGGTAAGAAAACAACTGTGAGACCTTAAATCCTTTATCTAATCATACACTAAATGGAGAGGAAACCCCAGACTACGGATTTTCTCTGAATGCAGGGATAAACTCGAGATGTTATGAGGGGGCGGGCTCAATACTCAAGTAGAAGTAACGGAGGGAGGGGAGAGATTAGGGTGGAAAGCGGACTGAATCAAGCAATGAAGTAGTTTTAAGGATGGCAGACGAATTAAAAGCTGATCTTCTAGAAGGCTGGTGATGCGAGAGGAGGAAAGGGACGGGGGATCAAGGGCTCACGAAGTTGGTGGGAGCAATGTGGTTAGGAGCCAGGTGCGAAGGTTACGTCGGGCTAGCCCCCACTGTCTGCTCAGCAGTTGCTCGCTCAGCCCTTTCTCTCCCCCATTATTACTACCATGAGGGTAGGATTCCAAGCAACTAGAGGGGGGAGCGTGAGGCACCACGCCACTACCAGGCCTGGGGAGGTTACAAGATTCCTCCAAACCCAGTGGCCAAGGTGACTGCCTGACCCCCACATCCAGTCCCGCGTCTCACCCGCCGCCAGGAGCAGGCCGCGGAGGCTCCCCATGGTCGCCTACTCCTTCAAACCGCACAGCACCTCCAGGAAGGCGGTGGCGCGGGAGTACTCAATGTCACCGAGGGGCGCAAAGGGGAAAAAAGTAGACAGAAATGGTGATTGGACCTGTGGGAAGTGAGGGCGGAGCGAGTGGGTCGAGCATGACGCAATGAGTGTGTGGGCGGGGCTTGCGGGACCTACCGGGCGCGACGCGCGGAACGTGACTGACTCCGAGAATTTGGGGGCGAGGCGTCTAGCGGGCGCCACCTCCGGCGCGTGTCCTTAAAAATGCTCATATAGAGTATGTGTATAATGAGTCTTTCCTATATGTATTATTATTTGTATCTAAGAAACTACTTGTTTAAAGTAGAAGAAAGGTAGTGTAATTGCTGTATAATTTTGTGAACTGCAGACTCACGAAATCATACTGCCTAGGTAAACCGGTATTTCAGTGTTTTCAATGGATATACAATATATGTCTTTATAAAAAAAACACGTAGCTGAGGCCTACGTTGTTGGCTTTGGGAGTGTCTCTGTGGCTAATGTGTATTTCCTATTTCTGTCTACCTATTTTTATAAAACTAAACATAACACACCTAACACCTGTTCAACCCTTATGCACCTACACTGTCAGCAGTGTCTTTTTGACATTTCTGAGTGGTCCCCAGTTCTTAACGAAGGCCTCTCAGCTTTGAGAGGCAGATAATGGAGAGGAAGGGTTAAGAAAAACCACTTCTACTCGACCAGGGAACTGTTTCCCTTTTTATAAGGTGGGATTAGGGTAAAACGATTCCTTCAAAAGTTCTGACATTCTTCGATCCATGCACATGGGTGAGTTCCAGGAGGTCGTGTTAAAGTAGTAGGCGTGGAAAGAACGGCGGAGTTCCAGGTTCCAAAGTGAATAAGGACTAGAGGAAAAACAGGCCTAGAGCTCAGCTTTCTCGCGGTGTCCCTAGAAATATTTTGTCAGGCGGCGCCGCGGACACCTTTGCTCTGCGGTGATTGGCTCGCAAAGGGGGCCTCGCGTTTGTCCAATATGGCGGCGCCCAGTGGCGGTGTGAACTGTGAGGAGTTCGCCGAGTTCCAGGTATTGGGGTTTTTCTCAGTGGCGGGTGTGTCTTTTGTTTTGTCCCTGGACCCTGTTCCCTCCTCTGGCTTAGGAGGGAGTGCGGACTAGTTGTGGAAGAAGCGGGCAATTCAGAGCTCCGTTTTGGAGCCATTGGAGGTCATGTGGGGCGCGGGATTGGCTTTAGGAAGCCAGGCTGTTCCGTGGGGGTCATGGTTCTCTCTGCGCCGCTCAGGCCTTGAGTAACTGCTCGGGAAACTGCAGGTGATTGGGCGATGACTAAGCCGCGGAGGGTACAGATTGTAACAACCTTTTGACCATCCCCCGAAATCTCTTCTATTCTGTACCGTTCCCCCTCGTATTTTAGGTTGAGCATTTGTAGGAGATGTTTTTAAAATATCTCCTTGAGAGCTCATTTACTTGGTAAAATAAAACAACTTGGTACAAGTTTTACTATTTTGATGGGGCAGAATGTTTGGAATCTTGAAGGGGAGATTAATTCTAGTACCTGCCTGGGTGCTGCTGCCTTCCTAAGCATTAGAGAAAATGTAACATTTAAGAAAAATGCTGTATCTTTTATATATTCAAATGCCAGAGGTCTATGGTTAAATGTTAACCCATGTGTTAAAGGACAGGGGTTTGGATTTTGACCAAGTTGCAATGAAAGTTCTCTGTTCTAGTGTAGCAACAAATATGCTGCTGTCTAGATAAATAATTGAATTTTAAAAAACACGACCATAAAAATATATTTTTAGCCAAAGGTAGTGAAAAGTCATTTATTTCATCTTTCATTGACCTATCTGTAGTAAGCTTTGTGCTTTGAGTCATTTTGTAGGGGGTGGTATTCTTGAAGGCAGTCTCAGCAGGCTGAATTCTCTGGCAAATACCATTTGGCCAAAGAACTTAAGTGGGGTCTTTTTTATGTGGCGTCATTTCTCCCTCTTCACTTCAACTGCTTCTCAGACTAACTCAGCACAGCAGCTGACTTCAAATGTAATCCATGTGCCCAACAAATGCAAACACTTGTAAAAATTTTTTAAAAACACTTGAATTTGAAAGTATGTAGACTGTTTAACAGGTTTACTGGCCCCTTTGTGGCTTTGGTTTTGTCACATTTGTAGTGATTTAAATTGAGGTAATAACACTCAGATAATTTTGCAATGATAGTTTTAAGGTTTATGGGAAAGAGCCCTGGTTAGGGAGTTAGATGTTCTGGGTTCTAATACTGCTTCTCCCATTAACAGCTTTGGAGCCTTGAGCTGACCACTTAACCCCTTTGAAAATTAACTTTTGAATCTATAAAATAAGTTTATTTTAAGTAATATTTATAACTGCTTCCTTCTCCACAGTTATTTGAATCTCTAAAACTAAATTTCAGAGAATCTTTTTTTGCTGTTAAAACAGCCAACAATGCTTAAAGAACACTGATTTTTCTTTTGGAAGGTCAGATAAAATGTTGTAAGTGGGGCAGAAGTTAAACGGTCTTGCAGAACCATTAGGTTGACACAGATAATGTAAGTAAAGAGATCATAAAATAAGCCTCCTTAGTGAAGCCTGGGGGAAATTTTTAGATACTTTATCTAATGTGGTTTATGAGGGAGAATATCCTGTAGTAAAAGTCAGAAGATCTGGTTTTCCAGAGCTGGCCTTAGCACATCATTTAACCTCACTGTGAATGAGAATGACATTTGCCCCTACTGCCTCAGAGGCGCAGAAGACCAAAAGTGAAATTGCTGTAAAATTATAAAATTTTAGTATAGCTTTTAGGTTTAGATAAATTAGTTAAATTGTAAAGAATACAGTTGACTGATATAATCACAAATTAATTATTCAGCTTAAATTATTTAAAGCTATGAAACCATTACATTTTCTTTTTAACTAAATACTTGTGAATTTTATTGTTGTTCAAGTAGTTTTCTGCCTTTTACCCAGCCCTCCCTACCACCCCAGCCATCCCCACCTCCCTTCCTTGTTTCCACCCCCACCCCTTGTTTTTGTCCATGTGTCCTTTACAGTTGTTCCTGTAAACCCTTTCCCCCTTTCCCCCCATTATCCTTTCCCATGTCCCTTCTGGTTACTGTCAGTTTGTTCTTAATTTCAATGTCTTTCTTTCTTTCTGCTGCATAGAATTCCATTGTGTAAATGTACCGTCGTTTTTTCATCCATTCATTTACTGATGGACACTTAGAAGGCTTCCAGCACTTGGCTATTGTAGATTGTCCTGCTATGAACATTGGGGTGCATAGGTTCTTTTGAATTGGTGTTTCAGTGGAAATACCAATGGAAACTAGCAGTAATTCCACTAGCAGTGGAATTACTGGGTCAAGAGACAGTTTCATTTTTAGTTTTCTGAGGAAATTCCATACTGTTTTCCATAGTGGTTGCACCAGTCTGCAATCCCACCAACAGTGCACTAGGGTCCCCTTTTCTCCACAACCTCTCTAACACTTGTTGTTTGTTGCTTTGCTTATGATGGCCATTGTGACTGGTATGAAGTGGTATCTATTGTGGTTTTAATTTGCATATCTTTGATGGTGAGCAATACTGAGCATCCTTTCTTTTTTTTTTTTTTTTTTTTAAGATTTTATTTATTTATCTTTAGAGGGGAAGGAGAGAGAGAGAGAAACATCAATGTACGGTTGCCTCTAGTGCATCCCCTGCAGGGAACTGGCCTGCAGGGAACCTGCCTGCAACCCAGGTATCTGCCCTGACTGGGAATCGAACCACGATCCTCTGGTTCACAGGCCCATGCTCAATCCACTGAGCTACACCAGCCAGGTTGAGCATCCTTTCATATGTCTCTGAACCTACTGTATGTCTTCCTTGGAGAAGTGTCTATTCAAATCTTTTCTCCATTTTTTTTATTGGGTTGTTTGTCTTCCTGGAGTGGAGTCACATGAGTTCTTAATATATTTTGGAGCTCAAATCCTTGTCTGAAGTATCATTGGCAAATATGTTTTCCCATACTGTTGGTTCTCTTTTCATTTTAATGCTGTTTTCTTCAGCTGTGCAGAAGCTTTTTATTTTGATGAGATCCCATTTGTTTATTCTTTTCTTTATGTCCCTTGCTCTAGGGGACATATCAGTGAAAATATTGCTGCATGGAATGTCTGAGATTTTCCTGCCTGTGTTCTACTGAAAGACTTTTATGGGGTCACGGCTTATATTTAAGTCTTTTATCTGCCTTGAATTTATTTTTGTGTAAGTTGATGCTTGAGTTTCATTTTTTTGCATGTAGCTGTCCGGCTCTCCCAACACCATTTGTTGAGGAGGCTATTTTTGCTCCATTTTATGCTGCTGCTCTCTTTGTCAAATATTAATTGACTATAGAGCCTTGGGTTTATTTCTGGGCTCTCTATTCTGTTCCATTGGTCCATGTGTCTATTCTTATGCCAGTACCAGGCTGTTTTGATTACGGCGGCCTTATAATACAGTTTGATATCAGGTATTATGATCCCTCTTACCTTGTTTTTCTTTCTCAAAATGGCTGTAGCTATTCAGGGTCATTTATGTTTCTATATAAATTTTTGAAGTGTTCATTCTGTATCTGTGAAATATGCCATTGGTACTTTAATAGGTATTGCATTGAATCTGTATATTGCTTTGGGTAGTATGGACTTTTTGATAATGTTAATTCTTCCAATCCATGAACACGGCATGGTTCCATTTGTTTGTGTCTCCCTTAATTTCTTGAATCAGTATTGTGTGGTTTTTTGAGTACAGGTCTTTTACTTCCTTGGTTAGGTTTATTCCTAGGTTTTTTACTTTTATCGTTCTATATCAAATAGGATGTTTTTCCTGATTTCTGTTTCTGATATTTCATTGTTGTTATACAAAAATGCCTTTGATTCTTGGATATGGACTTTGTATTCCACTGTTTTTGCCAAATTCAGTTATTAGGTCGAGTAGTTTTTTGGTGGAGTCTATAGGGTTTTCTATGTATACTGTCATGTCATGTACAAACAATGACAGTGTAGTTTCCTCTTTTCCAATTTGGATGCCTTTTATTTCTTTTTCTCGTCTGATTGCTGTGGCCAGGACTTCCAATACTATGTTGAATAGAGGTGGTGAAAGTGGACAACATTGTCTTGTTCCTGATCTTAATGGGAAAGGTTTTAGTTTTTGCCCATTGAGTATGATGTTGTCTGTAGGTCTCTCATATACGGCCTTTATTATGTTGGGGAATGCTCCCCCTGTTTCGACTTTGCTGAATGTTTTTATCATAAATGGGTGCTGTACCTTATCAAATGCTTTTCCTGCATCTGTTGATATGATCATGTGATTTTTTTTCTTTGCTTTTATTTATGTGATGTATTACATTTACTGATTTGCAAATATTGAACCATCCTTGCATCTCTGGGATGAATCCCACCTGGTCATGGTGTATCACCTTTTTACTATATTGCTAGATGCAGTTTGCCATTATTTTGCCAACATAGCATCTATGTTCATCAGCGATATTGGCCAGTGGTCTTCTTTCTTTGTTGTGTCTTTATCTGGTTTTGGGATTAGAATGCTGGTGGCCTCAAAAAAAGAGTTTGAGAGTTTTCTCTCTTCTTGGATTTTTTGGAATAGTCTGTAAAGGATAGAGGCTAGCTAATCCTTAAATGCATTTTGAAGTTATCCTATGAAACCATCTAGTCCAGGGCTTTTGTGTGTCAGGAGTTTTTTTATTACTGCTTCAATTTCATCTGCTGTTATTGCTCTGTTCAGGCTCTCTGCTCCTTCTTCATTGAGTTTTGGAAGATTATATTTTTCTAGAAATTTGTCCATTTCACTGGGTTTTCAAATTTCTTGGCATATAGTTCTTCATAGTAATTTCTTATAACCCTTTGTATTTCTGTGGTATCAGTTGTAATCTGTACTCTTTCTGATTTGTGTTTATTTGGGTCCTCTCTCTTTTTTTCTTGTTGAACCTACTTAAAGGCTTGTCAATTTTGTTTATCTTTTCGAAGAACTAGCTCCTGGATTCAGTGACCCTTAGAATTGTGCTTTTAGTCTCCATGTCATTTAATTCTGCTCTGATCTTGGTTATTTCCTTCCTTGTACTTGCTCTGGGCTGTCTTTGTTGTTTCTCCAGTTCTTGTAGGCGTGGGGTTAGGTTGTTTGTTTGAAATGTTTCTACCTTTCTTAGGTAGGCCTGTGTCGCCCTCTCAGGACTGCCTTCTCTGTGTCCCATAAGTTTTGGGTCATTGTGAGTTCATTTTCATTTGTTTCCAGAAACTTTTTGATTTCTTCCTTGACGCATTTATTGTTTAATAGCA